GGAGTGGGAAAATTCGGGAACAGATATTCAGTGATAAAGGAGTGGTTGTGCAGCCAAGCTTGGCGGAATATTGAGTGATGTTGAAGTCGAAGTGAAGCTTAGAAAGCTCGCTGTGTTGAGTACGTACATACTTGTCTGGTCAATGAAGCAGCCCCCCACCTGAGGTAAGGTAGGTAGGTACGGAGTACCTCAGGACGTACCTGCCGACGCAGATCTTGATTGCAATTGGCCTGCTGCTGAGAACTTTGCCTCGAGACAGGTACGTACCTGTGGCTCGCCAACTTCATCCTAATTTTTCCTCCCGGAAGTTGCTTGAGGCAGGATATACAGGTTGTCGTTGTACTAATTCGCACTCGCTTTTCGAGCAAACCTCAAGGGAGAATTCCTAACTCACCAGTTCATTCCCTTGTCCTCATTCGCCAACATTGCCGCATCACCATTCGCCATGACTCTCAATTCGAACCCCCAGGCCCGCATCTCACATCTGCCGCGAGCAGATGGCTCGGCAACGTTTTCAAGAGGCGGCTATTGCGTGGTTGCGGCCGTCAATGGGCCGATTGAGGTCCAACGACGCGACGAAAACCCCTTCGAATCAGTCGTTGATGTTGTCGTACGACCTGCTGCAGGGGTCGGAGGTCAGACTGTCTTTCTTCTGGCACCTTGTGGTCAATTTTGCTCATACTCGTGACGACTATTTAGGCACAGGAGAACGCCAACTCGAGAACATTCTGCGGTCCGCCCTTCGCCAGCTGATTCCCGTCAAAAACTTCCCTCGATGTCTTATTCAGGTTACGCTCCAGGTGACTGAGACGCCGCAGAATGACTATGCAAACAGCAAAGTAGTACAAGCTCAGTCTGTAAGTAATAAGTCCATCTCAGATATCTCAAAGCCACCGCCCAGTGTCGCCTATTGAGTGCTGTTGCTGACTATCCTACTCTACTGAAGAGTCTGCCTCTGCTACCGGCTCTCTTTCACAGCGCCATCCTGGCCTTGCTGTCTGCTGCTGTGCCTTTGAAGGCTATTGCCACATGTGCCACTTTGGCCGTTGTCCGGAAGGGTGACAAGATCATCGCTGACCCGTCTCCTCTGGAGATTGACCAGTCAAAATCGCTTCACGTTGTCATCTTCACGTCGCAGAACGACCTGTTGTTGTTGGAGAGTGAGGGGACGTTCTCCATGGCCGAGTGGGATGAGGTGATCAACAAAGGTCAATCAGTGTGCAGCCAACACCGTCAAGCGGAGCTAGGTGTCGCCATGGACGATGACAGCCAAGACGCAACCGACATGCAGCAGTTCATCCGGACCGTCATGGAATCAAAGGCTGCGTAAAATCAGCCCATCAATCGAAGTATGCAGGGTCTTGGAACCGCCGAGCGACAACCGAGGCGCGGGTGGTTCCTTATTCAGGAGTTCCAGTGAAGGAGGGATATCGACACTGGCTCAATGTAATCGATGGTGAGAAGGACGATACCAACGAGCAACGCGCGGCATCGACGTCTCGCCTCTAGGCATCAGGGACTGCGTCCTTGTACCAAAAGGGGTGGTCTGGATTGGTTCACTCAGTTATCAACGGTGAGAACGCCAGACTGGGGAGAGTATCGAAACGAGACGGCCGACGGGGTGGCAAGACGAATTATCATGAGGTTTCCTCAGGGGGAGAGCAACGATGACAGCACCCGGAAACACTGTTGGAGCTGGGAGCCGGGGACCGGCTCGGCAATGGGCCTCTTCACAGGCTATCACTTGTCACAAACGTCAGAAGCAGTAGCAACATGACACGGAAGACAAGGGCCAGAAAGTCATCCCGCGGCCGATGTTGGGAAAGTAACTTACCCGGGTCAGGTCGCATATCAAAGTCAAGTAAAGTGGATTGGTTGTTATCGACGGCGTTGTTTGACCTGTTTGAAGGTCGCTGAAAATGCGGCGTGAGGCGGTGTTTCAGCTCGATCTCAGGGGTCCTGAAGCGGGCAGGGGCACGGGGAAACCTGCGACAATGACAGGCCTCGAGGTTAGGAGCTACCGGGTGTTTCTGACCAGTACGTCTCCCGTCGCGGTGTTACCTTTGACCTTCTCCCGCCTGCGGAGGAAACTGGAAACGGCTCCGTGACCGTCTTCGGCGGGAGGGAGGATTGGGTGTCCTGCCTTTCTGCATCGGTCGGCACTGGAAAATGACACCATTTTCCAGTGGGTGGAGTATCTCCTGTTTTACCTGGCGTACCTTAAATGCCCAGGCCTTCGGGTACCGTTGGTAGAAATTCTATTACCCCGAGAAGATCTCCCAGGTTTATCAAGTCACTCCGTGCCTGAGATGGCGATGCCAAAAAACCATCCACGCAATAGTCTGGGTACCTATGAAATAAGGTGACCAATGAGTAGTAGCCGCCAAGAGCCACGGTTGGATACACCATACGAAGCGGCATGGTATTATATTGACTCTGCTCGGGGTGGCTTCGGGCCAGTTTAAGCATAACTGATGTTGGCATGCAAGTAGGGTCGGAATGCGGTAGTATGGTATTCGCGTCTCATCTTCCGGAGCAGCTTTCCTATCGTCTCCTTGCCTTAAAATTGCAGAAGCTCAAAGCCATGATCTTGGACTCTTGTCTTTCATCTTCATTGGCCTTCAGTAAGCAAAAGGAGTGACTTTTATCGTTGCGTATGCATGTGTTCCAGCTCGGTGGACCCGGGCCTGTGACCGCTGTTCCGCTTAGCAGTTTGGGCGAAGGCAGTGCCGCAGAGCTTCTAGAACATCGTGCCAGGAAGGCAGAGGCAGAGGTACCTTGACTTATCAGCGAGGAAGTTTCCCTATACAGTGTGATAACAGATTTTTGGGGTGTACCAAACGCATGTGTTATCCAGTAACATGGGCCGGGTAACCGCCAGCCAAGGAGGTCCATGTACATTCAAAAAAAATAATAAGGTAAGGTGGGAAGCGTGATGAGGTGAAGTAACCTAGGTGCTTAGGTATTAGGTAAGGTAGCTCTGTCCATGGCGGGCCAAAAAGCAGGCGGTGTTTGATCCGCATTAAGTCCAAACCAGCTCGACTCCTCCTTCCTTCTCCATGCAACGCTAATGATAACAACAACAACAACGAGAACAACGGCGACAACCTAGGGACATGGGATTGTGCAACAACAGCAGTACGGGAGGTGGATTGTTGTCGAAAGCAGCACAGCCCTCATTCGTACGCTCTGCAGGTTCCCACAGACAACGGACGGGAAACTTCATCTGCCATGTCTCTGATTATCTGATATCACCAAGGACCTCTACTATTTGTTGAACACATCAGTGCTGGTCCAATATCATCTTGGCTAAGGCATCTCAAGGTCAGGTTCGTTCCGAGGAAAGTCTTGGCTTTCGGTTCTTCTTACACCTGGCCAATTCTTGTCGTCGCATCCCCCACTTCACTCACTCACCTCGCCGGCGGTCGACGTTCTACCAGGTGGGATGCTCCAGATCTGCAAAGAGGTTTTCTCCCTGGAGTTCGACAAGCCATGATCTCCTCTCCTAGCAAGCCGTCCGTTCAGCTATTGGATGTCTCGGCGCTCCCCAAAGGTAATCGAGCCGTCCAGCAGCAATCGGGCTACCTCAGACGACAGCCTCGATCTGCAGATATCACACACACCTATCTACCACTGACCCTTGCTTCCTCTCTTCCTCTATCTTGCTGTCATCGGTGGATCATTGTTGCCGTCTCGGGAAGCCTAGGACCGCCCAAGCCGAGCAGCAGCAGAGAGTCAAGGCTCACGTCCTCGAAACACACTGGCATAATGCAGTCCATCACTGGAAGAGGATCTACCTAGATATTGCCCCTCGCTCAGGAACAGGACACAGGCCAAGTTGCGGCCTGCGTCTTCCAGCGGAAAGTTGAGGCCAGACCCGGCGGCGAATACACACACGCGCGCACACACACACACACACATATGCACACGCACATGAAAGAAAACTCGCATGCCGTACCTTACTCGACTACAAACGAGTGATTCAGGAGAGAGTCAGAAGAGATGTTGCCGCCAGGATTTGTATAAGGTAGTATGGGATATGGGGAAAGACTTGTCATTTGAGACGACGGGAAACCGGACAGATTGGTTGTTTCGCCTCCGACAATCCTGGCCTAGCGGCGTCCCAAACATGAGAGTGAGACTGCGCAAGCACCGGTCGATCAGGGCAAAGCAGAGACCAGATTGAAGCCGCATGGCTCTTTGGTTTCTACGCGTTGTGCGGATACCTAACCTCTGTCCAGTCGATAGCCACGGTTTTGGTGTTATCGCAATAGCCACCGGACCATCTATTGTGGCTGTCGCACTACCGTACGGGCATGCTTCCCATGCTGCCTCAGTATCGTGATCGCATGAATTGCTCTTGTCATTGGATCCAGCGAGCGCTAACTATTGTTACCGCTTATTGGAGATAGTTCCACGTTGAACGCAGTCTGGCCTATGGTGTCAATTCTTCTCAATATTTCAACAGAAAGTAGAAAGTTCCAGTCAAGGGCCTCCGACAAATACAGTCGTGCACGAATCTGAGGCGACTCGATGGCTGGATGTCGGACTGCCTGGTCTTTCTTACACCTTGTGGGTGATCATCGATGCTACTACATGTGTACGAAAGACAGGACCAAAAAGTCCAGACAAGAGCTGATCATGGCAGACCAAGGGCAACAACAATAACAGCAACAACCAGTAAAGAAAGAGGGGCCTCCCTCGTCTCGTCTGTTGGCGTAAAGGAACATATGCTCGAGTTGCAGAGTATTCGGTACCGTCACAAGTGCGACATTTGTGGCGACCCGAGCGGGTACACGATACACTTGGTGTCCCGTCTCTTGTTGCCTCTCCTGGACGCTGGCCGCAGCTGCAAAAGGGGTTGCTGTGCGTGAGGTGCAGCGGGCCTGCAGCGTGCCGCGTGCCTGTCAAGACACGGCAGCATCTGGCTCCAAGGCGCCGGTAAGGTATGTAGACAGTGGTAATGTAAGGTAAGGACGTATCTACGCAATACTTACGGGCTACAATGGTCTCCGCACAGCAGGTAGCCCTCTCAGCATTGGCTCACCACGATCCAACGGGCCTGCCTTGGCTAGGGACTGGGGACCAGAAGACGTTCCCGGCCCACCACGGGGGCCTGCCAATGTCATGCCGCCCCTTGTTCGTCTCCCTTGCCCTCTAGAGAACCTGGCTTTGCAGAAGAGGTTAGAGGAAGAGACGTTTGACTGGGGATCGCCAGGGATGTGGACGGGGAGTACGTATCGACGTTTTACCACTCGCCGCACCTTGCTTGCTTCGCATCCTCTCGCTGGCTGGCTCTCACACCCGTATACTTCATCATAAGCCCGATCTTTTCGAGGAACCAGTCCTATATCTGGGTCTACACGTGTATCCGTAGCATATGGATGCATCGTAACATGCCTACCTGAGTGACGACTACGGGTACACCAAGCCACTATCGGATAGAGTCCGTAGATACGTATCTGTGCTCCAGGCCACCGATTGCCCGGCCTCCTGGCAGCAGGATGTTGCATGCAACATGGTAAGGCGCGTACTGCGGGTGCTGAACCTTGGAAGTTTGGAGGCTGCCAAAGATGATAGTAACACGGTTAAGCATATGGGTCATGGATGTGGTTAAGGAGTAGTAGGGTATTCGTAGTTCGTAACTTCGTCCTTCGTGACTTCCAACAACATGGCCAGGGCGGATAGAAGAAAAAGGTAATAGGTTATGGATCAGGACTGGGGGGCAGGCACGGGTACCGAGAGGGAATAGAAGATTGGCTTCTTGATGTCCGTACCTTACACCACCTGAAGACGGAGTAGGGATACCTCTTGAAGAAAAGTCAAGTGGATTATTCTCAGCCCGTAGTAAAGTAGCAGAACAGGGTGCCTGAGCTTGGGCGTTGTGGCGGGAGCGCCCTTTGTCGCATCACATCCATCCTGCTGCTCGATTCGATCGACATCAGACTGAAAACAATGAAAATGGAGAGGGGAGAAGGGGGGGGGGGGCTAAGGGGAGGAGAGGGGAGAAATGTCTATTGTGACTTAGAATATTAAAGCTCCTGCACTGCTGGGACGAATCTTGAACTGGCCTCCCCTCTGTTCTCTTGTCAGTCAGTCTGGTCACTCTCTTATTTCGTCTTCGTTTGGTTTATCGCTCTTCTTCCTCTTCCTCCTCTTCCTTCTCTCTACCGCCACAAACTCCTCCCCCCCCCCCCCCATTCACCCCGTTCCTTTCGAAGCAGAGCTCCGGTAGTTCTAGCAATTACCTCGGCCGCTACGTCTTCTGGGGCATTGTTCATAATTCTTTACTTGACTACCTCGCTTTGCCTTGTCTTTGCATTATATACCTTGCTTGTGCACTGCATTGCTATCATACCCCTTTTCACTTAATTACTTCGTTGCGGCTGCTGGCTTTTCATCGCTTTTTATTTGATCGCCTTCGGTTTCACACTGTCGACTCGGCTCAGTTCTCGTCATCCTCAACCTCAAGACGCCCCATCCGGACTACCAAGAACCGACCTGCCAGACGAGTAGTTCATCACTCAGATTCTGGTTAGTCGTCACACCCGACTGCAACATTGTCAGACAAATCAGCAGTCATCAGCCTGGTTTAGTTACCCGCTCCGAGGCGGCAATTCGACTCAATTTAGCGTCATTCGTTCCATCCGAGACTCTGTCACACCCGAGTCACAACTCTGCAGGAATTGCCCAGCTTACCTGCACATCGACCTGCATCTCTAGAGGGTGCGTGAGAGAGCAAAAACAGGAAGACAGACAGTCTCTCCGAGCGTAGAGCCTAGAGTTACGGTGTCCATCTCAGTAAGACTGCGAGGTTGCCAAGCTTGCGAAAGCACCGACTATTTCCGTTTGGACACTGTTCTGAACCTGTGTTCTACCCGACATCAGAGACGTTCTGAACACACTTGTACAAGTTTGTGGTAAATCCGCCCAGTACGGATACCCGTTCCATCACACAAGCAAAGGTCGTTCAATCGCGGCCTAACACAAGGATCTACACGGCAATAACGCCCATCAGTACTTGACCGATCCCATCGGCGTCGGTGGTCCGTAAGGTCCGGTTGCTCACAGTTTCCATTTCCTTGGACTCTGGAGTCTAGAAAGTTGCTTGGTCGACCTTCTTTTGTGTGTGGTCTCCACGTTGTAGGAACAGTTCTCTGGTACTCGCTACTTCTCGGTTCGCCAGCAGTCAGTTGTGTCTGCTATTACCGCTTGGTGTTCGAACTTCGCTCGGCCTTAGCGGAGAACAGGTCCCTGCCACCACCCGACCCCCTGCCCACTTCCACGGTTCGCCTACCAAGTCAGAAGTACCCACCTTGAGGTACTCGTGCCTTCCACCACATACCTTACGGAGAAAGGTACTTAGGTTTTCTGCCGTGCAGCCCAGGCCCCCGGAAGGTGCTATTATTACTCTTTCGTCACTGCCGCTGCATTATTTTTTGCGACAATTAATTACCACCTAGCCGTCCATCGCTCACTTTCCGGCCATTCACCCACCTCAACTCACCTTGCACCTTGGATCGGTTCACGCGGTACAGAGTACTTCGCTCCTCCATCCATCACACCCATACCCCGATCTCCATCCACCTCTCTCTCACCTTCCACGCCCCGTCGGCGGAGATACGGCAGTGCCACTATTCTTAACCATGTCGGGCTTCGTCTCCTCGCCCACCGCCCTGCACCCCGCCCTCAGTAATCCGAATCCGCTTCCGCCGCCAGCGCCATTGTCACTGCAACAGCACCAGCCGTCCGCGTTGCCGTCCTCGTCGCCCTCTTCCGACCCCCATGGAGTTAAAACCTCGCTTTCCGACCGCCCCAAAAGCTCCAGCGCCAGTGTCAGCACCACTACCGTCCACGACCGACCTCTCTCTTCTTCCGCCTCCACCTCCAACTCCGTCTCCCATTTACACTCGCACACACACTCGCACTCTCTGTCACTGCATCGCAATGCTGGTCCGGTAGCAGAGGAGGAACCCTACGCTGGCGCCCAAGCCGGATTTCCCGCTACAGCTGCTGCAACACAAAACCCCTCGTCCTCGATAAGAAGAAGCTCCCTATCAATAACCTCTACCGCCGCCTATCCCGAACTGCTCCCGCCTCCTCTTTCCAAGTCCACCAACGCCAACGCCAGCGCTGCCGCCCATCCTCCCAAGGGCCATCGTCGCGCACCTTCCCACGAAGTTCCCCGCCAGACTATTATGAAAGCCTTGGCTTCGGTTGTTCGCAGAAATAAACCCGAAGCCCTCTCACTTACCGGCATGTTGTCCCAGCAAGGCGGTTGCGACAACCGCCCCGCCACTTCTTCGTCCCAGAAGCTGGCCGACGCCTTGAATGAGCTGGCCAACCGGAGCATGACCCCCACCACCGCCCTACCCTCCTTGCAGTCCCCCTGCTTCTATCACAACCGATTCGATGATGCCGTCAACATCGACAAGGTTCTTGAGGAGATCAAGAATGACGACTGCATGTCACACTCTAGGCTCGTGCAGACAGCCACCGGCGTCCGCGAGGTCTCCAAGCAGTTGCAACGTCGCCCCATCAAGCGCGCTGTTCGCAATGTCATGATTGTCACCAAAGCTCGCGATAACCAGCTCGTCTACCTGACCCGCGAGCTCGCTACCTGGTTGCTTCGTACGCCGAGGTACGGTGCCGACGTTGGCGTCAACGTCTATGTGGACGCCAAGCTGCGCAACTCTCGACGCTTCGATGCCAATGGCATTGTTGCAGAGAATCCTGCGTACCAGGACATGCTCAAGTACTGGACGCCTGATTTATGCTGGAGCCAACCTGAGAAGTTCGACCTAGTCCTTACCCTCGGCGGTGATGGAACCGTTCTCTTCACGTCATGGCTTTTTCAGCGCATCGTGCCCCCCGTCTTGTCCTTCAGTCTGGGCAGTCTCGGCTTCTTAACGAGCTTCGAATTTGAAAAGTACACGCAGCACTTGGACCGGATCATGGGTGACGAGGGCATGCGTGTCAACTTGCGTATGCGCTTCACCTGCACTGTCTACCGTGACGGCACTCTTGGCCAAGAGGCGGAGGAAGGAGAGCAATTCGAGGTTCTCAACGAACTTGTCATCGATCGCGGCCCATCCCCATACGTTTCGAACTTGGAACTCTACGGCGATGACGAGCTCCTCACTGTCGTGCAGGCCGACGGCTGCATTTTCTCCACACCGACAGGATCAACTGCTTATTCTCTTTCGGCCGGAGGTTCCTTGGTACACCCCGACATCCCGGCTATTCTCCTGACACCCATCTGCCCGCATACCCTCTCATTCCGCCCGATGGTTCTCTCTGACACGATGCTCCTCCGCGTGTCGGTGCCGCGTAATTCGCGCGCAACGGCGTACTGCGCCTTTGATGGCAAGGGTCGTGTCGAGTTGAAGCAAGGAGACTACGTCACCATCACTGCCTCACAATACCCATTCCCTACAGTTGTCCGAACACAGACGGAGTGGTTCGACAGCGTTTCCCGCACTCTTCGCTGGAACACGCGCGCCGCAACGCAAAAGGGCTTCGACCCCTCTGCTGGCGGCAGCCTCTGCCCATCTGAGGACGGCAAGGATGAAGATCCGGAGTGGGACATCGACACTGACTCGGCCTGCTACGCTAGTGAGGACGGGAGTATCAGTGCGAGTCCCTTGAGAAGGCAGATGAGTCTGCTGGGCATGTGATTAACGGCCGTTTGTTTATTCGTTAGAGACAGAGCATCATGATTCCCAACTTTCTTCAAACCCACAAAACAGGCAGCTCGGCTACGCAAAGCAGCACGTTCTGTTCTGTTCGACTATTCTGCACTACACCTTCGCATTTCTCCCCACTAGCGAGGAGGGTGGGCTAGACTAAGATGCTTTGGCATCTTTTATTTGTTTGTTTCATAGACTTGAGCGATTTCGCAAGGCATAAGAAAGACAGGAACGCATGGGACGCATACTGCTGTGTGTGCGTGAATGGAAAGACTGAGACCTGACATGCTCGAATGAGCAGTGTTGTCCAACGTCACCAGAAGACGAGGGAGATAATACCGGTATTGGCACTGGCACGGTATATACTTGCATGAGGTAGCTGTTGTGTGCGCAGGCCAACGCACCCGCCCTCCTCTCAACTTGAAAGAAGAGAGGGGAAGAGGATGTCGATCTTCTTGCGACCAGCGAATACATAGTCTCAAGAGAGAGAAAGAGAGATAGAAACAAAGAGAGTGAGATGAAAATCTCACCAGCATCTGCGGTTGGTGGTAGATCCGACCAGCAGGTGTGGTCACGTACCAAACAGCTTTTGCCACGAATATGAACCTAGACCCCTTCAGCCCTGTGCCTGACTCGAAGTCACCTCTTTTCATGTATTCCTCCCAAACAAAGAGCGTATGTAATCTTGACATTCTGCAACAGTAAACATGAGGTCTGTTTCTGGATGAGCACGAACATCTGGGTTATCGTATTAGAGCATTGAGAATCCGTACCTATCTATGGAGACAACAATAAGATGGCACCTTGGTTTACACCCTTGTTCACACAGCGTCACACAGACACCAATTAACACTACTCGGTGATCCGAAGCCAAAGAGACACATCAGTTATGTTGTTAGTTTTTTTTTTTTTTTGTGTTTCATTGCTCTTTTAATGACTTGCTTCGTCGTGGCGCCTTACAGGCTTGGCCAGAACATAAACATTGCACATGTATAACCGACTTTGCAGAGCCACATCTACAACCAAATCCCAAGACGCCATTTGCTTGTTATAATTCCAAGCCCCAACACAACACCAACACATGAGGATAAAGACGGTACTCCTTCAACTGATACGCAGTGCGACATTAGAGAGCGAGAGCTGGGTTCCATCATGTCGGTCATGGCTCCTGCAAGAGACGACAGAAGTATAGAACCTTCGCAAGCGATAGATAGTATGACCGGCACATCCATCTCTGAATTTGCCGGGCTTCCAGCCATGCTTACTGTGTCTTCCTGTGTCGCAACTCGCTTGACGATGGGGCCACTGCCCATGTAGTTGGATTTGCATCTGTCCGTTGCTACCACGGAGCCGACTGAGTGTCCACAAGGGGGCACAACATAGACACTCACTTTTTGTGTAGATTACTCCCGACGAGAGTGTGAAGCCGCCAACCTCCACGCCAAGTTTCTATCGCCAGGCACCTTGGCTAAGAGATAACAGACCTGCGATGCAATCCATGTCGCCCTTCTTGCTTGGGCTCACATCGCCGCCGCGCATGAAACTCTCCACCTCGTCTGCGCCCTTTGTTGTAGGCGAGCTTGAGCTCTGCTCATCCTCGAATATGGTGACATATTTTCCGGATCCTCGGCATCCCATAGCGGGCATCGTTCTGGCCCGGCTGCTGCTGAATATAGCAGGCCCGGGATGGTCCTGTAAAGTACGACCTGTTCGTCTCGCATTGTTCTGGCTGTCAACGGTAGCCGGCAAAGGTCTTCGGTCATTAACTGGCGGCAACCGACGCATGTTGCCTTGGTTCTCAGGTGTCCAATTCTCCTTATCAGAATCACCCGATGGAGATATCAGCATGTCCACCTTGACCTTGTCACCCAGGCTTTTCTCTTCACTTGGTTGAGATACGGACTCCTCGCTATCAGTGAGTGATGTTTGCATTCTAGCCATGCTGGAAGATGTGCGACAGAGCTTAGGCTTCTTAGCCTGTTGAGGTCGAGAAGCCGGCCTACTTGCAGGACAGTTCCGTTTGGAGCTGTTGTTTTGAAGAACGCCGCTGGTTGAGCGGAGAAGACTGATGGCAGCGACAGCAGAGCCATTGGACTCATCTTCAGCTTGCGTCGTGAGCTCGTCACGAGTATCAGCATCACAGCACAGCTCCCATGCGTGGGCGTCACGAGATCTGCCTCGTCCCAGTGCCGGCGGCAGCGAGTCAGTGAGGGCTGTTATGGGTGGTAGAGTCACGCTAGGGAGGGCACTGTGACTGCGCTGGAGTGGTCGAGCTATTCTGGGCTGAGGCAAGGCTGCCAAATCCGAGAATAGCTTCGTAGGCTGAAAGCGAGGGGGTGAGTTCTCATTAGAGACAAGCTCAGCTTTGCCTTCGAGCGAAAGCGACAATCGCACCTGCGACTGTTGCGACGATTGCGGAGAGGGCAGGGTTTGTGATCCATGTGCAGGCGGTGAGCAAGACGCAGGTGTATATAGATCGGATCTGCATGATATATTAGCTAAACGACGGTCCACGATGAACTGAACGAGACATACTTGGGGGTTTCGTCAATGCTGCGGTTGAGCGTTGAAGGGGTTGAAAAGGCACTTGCTGCGTTCCAATGAGACGATGTGAAGAACCCAACAGAGTTTGAAAAAGAGGATGACCCTGTTGAGTGAGGCTGAGACGAGGAAGCCGTGACTTGGGATAATGGCGTCTCCAAAACCGTCGTCTCAGGACCGCCACTTAAAATGGACGGTGTTGCGTGTTGAGGCTGTTCATCCGCCTCGTCTCCGCGCACTTGTATAGCCTTGACCGGAGTCTCCGCAGGCACGACAGCGTTGATGGGAGCTGTTTCTGCCACTGGCGATGCTTGTTCTTCCGGCAGGGAAGAGGTGTAGGCAACTGGATCCGAAGAGAGTATCTGCATACCACCGTACCGGAGGGCAGCAATCTCCTGAGCGGAGAGGGGCCGCGACTTGCGCCTGTCATTCTGTCGACGATTTTGGAACCATATCTACACGCTCGCAATCAGCACCAAGCGCGACCGTTGTCGTACCGGCAATGTTATCAAATACCTGGACCTCCTTTTCGTTGAGAGAGACGCGCTTCACGATGTCTAGGCGTGCTGCCTTGTCTGGTTTCGGGTTCGCAACATAGGCAGCCTCAAGTATCGACTTGTCTTTGGCACTACAGTGATCAAACAAGAGTCAGTGGCTGCAGCACAAGAACGCGTAGCAATTGGGGCCAAGAACAATGACATACGCAGTTCTCTTCCTCTTTCCCTTTGGGTGACGCTCAGAGTCGGGATTTGATACCTCGGTCTTGACAGACGAAGAAGGCGCGAAGTCGGGGGTTTCTGTCCCAGTTGCAAGAGGCTGTCTGGTAGGAGTCTGCGCGGGTTGATCTGTCCGGAAGGAGGATTCGCGTGGAGAGGGGGAAGAAGAGGACTGCGGTGCTCCAACCAAGGCTTGAGAGGAGATGTCGGAGACAGACATGGCGGCGGTCGAGGCTATGAGTAGTAAACGACAGTCATGATCTGGGGTCGGTACAACTGAACGAGGAGTCGCGAGCCGGGGGCGATGATAGAGAGCGTGCACTCAAGGAAGATTGGACGAGACACGGGACAGGCGTGACAATAAAGTGAATTGAAGATAATTGTAGGACTGCAGGCAAAACAAAGTTGGGAGGAGAGTAAAGTAAAGAGGAAGAATGACGAAGAGAGGCTTCCAGGAACGGACGAGGTGGGGAAGCGAGAGTGTCGAGACACACGAGGCGCGGTTATTCGTCGCAATTAAGGTCAGGTACGGTCCAGGTGAGTTGTGGTGCCTTCCACATGGGTTTTGGTGTTGAACACGGCGCGTCTGAGAACCCCAACTAGGGAAAGGCACTTACACGCTAGAGACGTGGATAGTGGAGTTGCAGATACCCGGCCAGGGTACCGTAGGTACTGAGCTTGGTCAGAATACCGGCTCAGTGCAGTGATATAAAAGTCTTTCTGAAATTCATGTTGAGCAAGTGTTTATAAAAAAGAGGTGAGATTTCGCTGCAGATTCAAGAAAACTCGTACTGACGCGTAATACTCATCGTATTTGGTCGTGAGTGTGATGTGAAGTATTTGAGTGAGTAGCAAGTGATAATCATCTACCAAGTACAGTATCACTAAGCCTACCAGGTCAGGTACCGCACAACAGCGCGATCGCGGCACGGATCCGCAGACCCACCAAGTCACCTCCACGTATGTTTTTGTGTGATTTACCACCTTACGAATACCTCGCAGCAATGTTTGCGCTTGAGCATCAGGCGCGGCATACTTCCATCTACATTTTATAGGCCTCATATTCCATGGCCGGACGAATGCGGCGCAGACAGTCTGTAAGCCAATCCAAGTACACATTCATCTGAATTGAGCAATGTCGTTCGCAAGACATAGCCAATACATGCACGTACTCCAGCACATGGCTTCATGTTCACTGACCCAAAGGTCCGTTGTTCCTTGCTTACTTAAAATCAAGTCTACGCGCTCAATGTAGGTACCTAGCTTCTGCAAATTAGTGTCATAGGGTAAGGTACGAATAGCCTACGCATAAAAGGCTTGGGCCAGTCACGTCGCGCGTCTGTTTTCAATTGGGAAATAAAACAAAAACAGTCTACTTTCCATCACCAGGGGCTACATACACCGACAAGATTGAAGACAGACCCTTAAAATACCTAACACCTTAATCATTTGCGGTCCGCATGAAAAATACAAGCACGCATCGAACTCTGCTAGTCTTACCGTTGACGACCTGACCGATGGACATCCCTTAGTCCACTCGCTCTCTCATCTTACCTCCACACCTCTCCTCCTCATTTTCTGGACTTAGCGTGCTTTTGGTCTGGCGCCTCGCCTGATGAACAACGCGCGTATGCATACAAGTCTGCCTCTCGCGCCGTAAGAGCTGTTCGTGACATACCGGATAAGAAGCCCATAAGGCCGAATGTGTGAATGGTAATCAAAAAGCGAAGTCGAGATTGGTCATGTGCTGCATTCTGAGATACCACTCTTCGTCATTTTTACGTGCCACCACGCGCGTGCAAAACACCCCGGTTCGACCTGAATTCGATACTATGCTTCCGTTAGCGGTAGAACGCGAAGGGCAACTGGTCGTCGCTTGTGCGTGGTATTTGACCCCAGACCATCCCTCCTCCGTGTACCCACCCTGCCGCATCTGACCGAGTCTGCTCGGGGACCATGGAGCCTGGCGCGAATGCGAACTGGTGCATGAAGGCTGGAACAATATACGGACACACTTGATTGAGTTCGGAAAACCTTTGTTCTCCGTCATATACCAATTAACGCCCACCTTGCCCTCCCACCTCGAAATACAGCAGACCCAGTGACGCGCGTGGCAGTTGGCACGTAAGCCGCACTCAGCAAAAGAATCTCCATTAAAATCCATGTCCTCCTAAGTCCCGCTAGCAACTCTCGGTTCTTCCGTCAGACACCAAAGTTCCGTACTATCATAGATTAACACCCAGCCACCTCCCCGACAAACAGACAACCAGACGCGTCGCTGGATCCCGAGTATTTAACACACCAGCACTTCTGTTACTGGTCAACCAAAATCGCGTTCAAAGAAGCGAACAGTGGGTATGCACTGACTTTGACAGAGTACACGGTATCGTGTACATCCAGAGGTGGTTGGTGACCATCAGAGACGGCCCCGGACCCTTGAAAACACATACCGGAATCTGGTACAAAAATAGTGCTTGCGGCCACAATACAGACCCATTTGTGCAAATGCTCAGGCTCCTCTCAATTCGAATTTCAGCTGCTAAGTTATTCGGTACAGCTACCTGCCTTGCGATTATGTCTCCAACAACTGAATTGTGTTTGCCGAAAGCTCAACCTACAAGGGCTTCCATAGAAGTTCTTTGTTTCTATACTGCATTCAAGAATACCAACTTTGGAATATATTACACAGGATGAGTAACCGTTCCCACCTCTCACCGACACTCGTCGAAAGGCAAAGCAATATTCTGGGGTCTGGGCCCTGGACTTTCCATTTAGGTACTTCATTCGGTCTCACTCGCAACCTGGGTCCGTCACATTATCGTCAAAGGTACTACTTACTTTTGTGCTACTTATGCACCTTTCGAGATATCTGGAACCCACTTATTATCTCTCACTCAGAACATGATGTGACGTAGCGTGGTTGAGTTGCATGATGTGGTCCTGACGAGACTATGTTGTTGACCGTTTCTCTACCTGCCTTTGCGGTCCTTCTTCTCTCTCATTGTCTGTCTGCGTGTCTGTCTGTCTGTCTCCCCAATCATGCCTAGCTAACCATTGAATTGCTATCTAATTAAGTGCATTGCGCTGTCTGTCGAGGTACGGATACGCATAGTAGAGAAGAGGACGAGCGGAACCCGAGACACCTTGGTGGAAATGTAAGGACTCAGTGTTCATCTTGTAAGGCGTCAAACTACTCAAAGTATGCTGGTCGTCTCGCAGCAAGTGTAAAACCCTCCATCCAGCTCCGAGTCTACCATACGAACCGGCCGTGCCGTCTTCTACCATAATGACCGTGACCAGCTATTGCCGGTCTGCGCCAGAGAATTTCGGTTCACGACGTCCTTTCAACCGTTCCACCGCGTTGGGATCATGTCCATGCCGCGTCTCTATCTTTACAAGTCTTCGTCCGAAAGCTCACCGGGCAGAGGCATGTTGGCGGCCTCGTCCATCTCCTTGCGGTACTGCTCGAGGAGCTGGGCGTCGACCTGAGCGGTGGGGGGGGCGAGAGCCGGTGCAGCAACGAATTCCTGTGGAGCAATTAGCATGAAAATTTTGGAGGCAGAGACCGGTGCAGAAGATCGTTCGGGAGCATACCAAAGCGGGGTTGCCGACAAGCTTACGTGCAAGCCAGAGGAAAGGCTTCTCGAAGTTGTAGTTGGACTTGGCAGAGATATCGTAGTACTGAAGGTTCTTCTTGCGGTGGAAGGTAATGGTCTTGGCCTTGACCTTGCGCTCCTTCACGTCGACCTTGTTACCGCAGAGAACGATGGGGATGTTCTCGCAAACACGAACGAGATCGCCTAGATGATCCTTGTTAGTTGGGCTGGTCGTTTGGGGTCAAAGACATAGATTCGAGTCATGCCGATCCAATGGGTGCCACGTACGGTGCCAGTTGGGGACGTTCTTGTATGTGATACGGGAGGTGACATCGAACATGATGATACCGCACTGGCCGTTGATGTAGTAACCATCACGGAGACCACCGAACTTCTCCTGGCCGGCGGTATCCCAAACATCGAACTGAATCTGACCAAAGTTCTGCGCGCGCTGAGTTAGAGACCGGCGACCGATGCTATAGGGGAACCAAGCCGATGGGAGGTACTTACCGTGCTGAAACCCAGAGGGTGGACTTCGACACCAAGAGTGGCCATGTACTTCTTCTCGAACTCACCAGTCAAGTGACGCTTGACGAAAGTGGTCTACAACGTTACACACTGTTAGCAACGCGATAAAATGGAGGGGGGAAGTGGAAGGGAATGCTATCGGCTGAAGTCGAGGGGTCGATGTTGGCGAAGAGGGCAAACGATGCTGTCGGGCGCAACCTCGATAAGGGCCATGGGGGACGAGGGAGTATTAGAATCACCTTTCCGGTACCGCCATCACCGACAAGAACGAGCTTGAAGGTAGGAGTCTGCTGAGTTTCGGCCATGTTTGCTATCGGTGAAGGAATCGGATCGGTGCGAGTTAATTGTAAACAAGCGGGGCTGATCGCGAGGTTAGCAGCTGGCGCAAAGCGAAAGAAGGCAAACAAATGGAGATTCGTCAACGTGAAGGCGCAAACCAGCGTCGGCAAGGGCGCGGAGTAGATGAATTCGTACCGGAGAGAGGGATGGGTAGTGGGCTGTAAACTTTTCGACGAGTGGAAATCGTCACCGACTGATCGACTTTAGGGGGGGGGTTATGTTTTTGAGGATGGCGGGGGAGCTTGCAAGGAAGCCGTACTTCTTAAGCGAAAAATTCAGTCAGGCAGGCCAACGAAGTCGGGTAGGCACGATTGGGCTAGGCAAGGGTCACGTGCGTCGCTGTCTCGTCATAGTGGGGTTCCCTTTCAATGGGCGACGGCAAGTACGTCTCTTTCCATTCGTTCTTTCCTCCGGGCCGCTTCCATTTGGGTGACTGGATATTTCCTTGCCTCCTTCAGCAACAAGTTGGGTTCCATTGCTTCGGGCACTTGAAGATTAAAAACCTTCGCCGGCAGATCGCTCTCATAAAGAACCCCAAGGTAAGAAATTTCACACAGTTTGGCGGCGAATGCATACTTGACGCGCTCGACAACTCTCATGCTCGTATCATGGAAACTACCAAAATAATTTTCGAGGTCCGCTTTTCCGTCACTGCTTACCTTAGGCGTGGGCGGTCAATCCAGACATAGTACCTAGGTACGGCACCTTTGTTAGCCATCCATTGACATTCTTCTTTCTCACCAGAACATGCAATCATTATCTCAAAAGTAAGTAGTGCCAACATCATCCTCCGCCACACATCTCACAAAACCCCTTAAACATTCGACACAGGCAGCTGTCCCATCAGGCCGCGACTTGCTTTGTAATCCAACTACCACTTTGCCTGTTCCTAATCGCTGCCTGTCCAGCCATGGCAATTATCTGCCTAATGGTTCATCTAATGACCGCAGCCGATGGCTTACACCAGGTACCTAGTCATGCTAGTGAATCCAGAAGTATGCCGAGCCACGTGGAGTCGAAGCGGCCTTCCGGCCAGTTAATTCTATCTTGCGGGCACCCAAGGCATTAGTGACTCTCACTGATCGTTCTCAACAGCGCGCAGCCGTGTACTTTTCGGAATGAATCTTCGTGTCTTATGTCAGTGAAGTTGTCGCGAAACATGTCGGCCTACTGTACATACGGCGATATCAGATCCTTGTTTTGTCGCTGCAGCTGAAGCAGTATATTCCTCTCTCACAAAGGTAGGATGTGACAGCCCAGCAAACCTCTGCCACCCCAGTTACGTCTCGGAGTGAGTGTTACGTGCAGCTCCTCCCGCGCCCCTTGGCTGGGTCGAGATATCCTGACTAGAACAGGTCGCTTTGTCTGGTTAATGTCATATCCACACGAGTGTCGGGCAATAGTCAACTTACACCTTCATTCCCTTGCACGCATTCGGCCACCTTCTTGAGATTGTCGTGGTTTGAGCTGTTGACGTAGCCAAATATGCGAATTTGGTCATTCGGCTTTAGGCCAGCTAACTCAGCTGGGCTTCCTGGAACCACAGCGTTGACCTTTGCGAATGGCTCCTCCAGCGGCTGAGATGCTGAATGATCTGCCAGGGTGTTGTTGGCACCCCCGGAGAGCGGAACTTCGGGTTTCTCCTCTTCTTGCAAGCTGGCAAAGTGCTCATGGAGTTGTTTCTCAACCATGGCCATGAGCTCCTTGTAGTCATTGCGGAGGTGGATGATGCGGGCTCTGGTAGTACGCACTATTACAATCAGCAGGGTACTAGATCTCTGCCACCAGAGGAGAAACACCTTGAGCAATATCGAGATCGGCTCTTGGAAAGCCGTCTTGAGTTGTGAGAGGTGTGTTCATGTCAACCCCGTGCTGGCTCACCAATCAGCTGAATACTCGCTTCTCCATGTTCGTCTCCGAACACTGGAGCGGGGGGTCTTGAAATCACAAACAGAGTCGAGGACTGCACCCAAAGCTTTCAATTCAGCCTCCATGTTTTCTTTCTTGTTCTGTAGCTCGGCAAAAGAGAGGCGACCAAGGTCACCGTTCCTCGACGTATTGCTGGCTGGGCCCGAGGGCACGGTTGGAGCGTGTATGTTGTCCATCCTGAGGGGCAATCCCATAGCTGACCGGACGGACCGATAGAAATGCGAGGGGGCTTAAGTGCGATGAAGAGTCGGTTTCTGACTTCTTGCAGCGATGGCAGACGACTTCGTTCATGTGCCCAGTATTTGAGCTGGAATTGATGTTGGTGGACCTCAACTTCAACCCTCTATGTTGGGGTATTGCATCGACATAGAGGACATCCAATTGTGAGCCCCGCGCCCCAAATCCTTGGGCAGCGTCATGGGGACCTGCCTACGTAGCTACCTACCTTAGCCGGGTACCGCAGGTGCTTAGGTACCTGAAGAAGGTGCCTGTCCAGCCTTAGATTCATGGGCCGTGCCTGCCTTAGGTATCTTGAGTGCTAGGGTAGGTACCCAGCATTGTGACTCCATGCGCTGACTAACTCACAAGACCTGATGGAGCCTAGAATCACTGCTGGTACCTGAGGCACAAGAAGCGGTCTAACTGGAACCCCGACGCGTCCATTCAGCGACCCGATACAGAGCTCTTAGTTCAACCCCAGCCAGCTCCCGATCTCCTGCTAGACTGTCCTTGTATCGACGTCACAGTTCCATTTCTTCTTCCTCCATCCTCTTACCCCGTCCGCTCTTTGCCTCTCCGATCATCATGGCGACCGGCGTCGACGCAAAGCTCCTAAAGTCCACCAAATTCCCTGCGGAATTCAATCAAAAGGTTGACATGCAAAAGGTCAACCTTCAGGTGATGAAAAAGCATGAGCCTCGCCTTCCATTGTCATTCAATTGCTAACTGATCTCTTTCAGGTGGATAGCCAGCAAAATTTCCGACATCCTGGGAAGCGAAGATGACGTTGTTATCGAGCTTTGTTTCAACCTGATCGAAGGGCCCCGATTTGTCAGTATTGTCTGCCTCGACCGATTCTCGCGATTATCTTCTGACTTTCCTCCAGCCAGACATTAAAGCTTTACAAATACAACTTACGGGCTTCTTGGACAAGGACACGGCGCCATTCTGCAGGGAACTATGGAAATTGTTCTTGAGTGCCCAAACAAGCCCTCAGGGTGTGCCCAAAGAACTTCTAGAGGCCAAGAAGCTAGAGTTGATACAAGAAAAGGTACGTATCAATCTTCATCCACAGCCAAGGACAGTCACTAACATAGACCAGATGGAAGCCGATCGCGCTGCAGACGAGGCACGACGCCGCCGAGGCGATATCGACAGGCGTCAACAAGATGGCCCGGCACCGAGAGATAGGGATCGCGGTGAACGCGGACGCGGACGCGGCGGCGGTGGAGACATGCGGCGTGGTCGCAACAGTGACAGGGACTACGACCAAAGAGGTAGACACGGAGGACGGTTTGGTAGCAACAGGTCGCGCTCACCGGCTGCGAGGAACCCTGATCAGAGGGACAGAGGCTCGTTCCGTGGGTCCACTAGAGACAGCTATGTCCCAAGGAATCGCGGTCTCGATAGCCGAGTATCTGGCCGTCGTCGCAACGACACGCGCTCTCCGTCTCCGGCATCCGCCACCTCACGGTCGCGCAGCCCCGATCGCAAGCGGGATTTTAGTCGTGGCTCGCCCCCGGCCCCCGCCCGACGAACTCGTCGAGAACGCAGCGTATCCAGCCCCAGGGCTACGAGAAATCGATCGGCGTCGCCGAGAAGAAGCCAGGGGGATTATCGCGAATCACGAAGGAAAAGGAGATCTTCACGAAGCCCTTCAACGCCCTCAACATCGCCTGATAAACGGGCGGCTGCAAAGCGCCGTAGATACTCCTCTTCACGGAGTCGTTCGCCAGGTCGTGAGAGACGATCCCGCAGTAGAAGCTCGAACTCAGCATCGTCTCGAAGTTCTAGATCACGCAGCCGTAGCTCTACGCGTCGAACCTCTCGGGGACGTGCAAGTCCGAGATCTCGAAGCAGTCCCCGACATCGCCACGATAGTAGCGTCTCTCGCTCTCCGGATCCCAGCGCTCGCAGAGCAACAGCTGATGATATTAACGAGACTGATCGCGAGAGCAGGAGAGGCCAAGGAGAGGGAGAGGGTGAGGCAAAAGGAAGCCGGAGACGCAACTCATAGCCTCGCTCATGGAGATCGGCTGATGACTCTAAGAGGTGACTTCCAAACTTTGCACAACTTTAAACAGGCCGATTCCTGCGTCACAAGACGATAGGTGGGTGGCGATTCTTGGAACGAGATCCGACAACTCAAACAGGTCTGGCTAATCTGATACTGGCACTATGCAGACACAACGTTGCCAGGTCTTCCAGCAGCGTTGGCGAAGGCAGAAGATCACGGGAGAATGATAAAAAACAAGAGACGCTAAGCTCGCATTTCGCCTCATTTACAAACGGCTAAGGCTAATCGTCTAAGAAGTTTTGCTGCATACCTTACACAAACATACGAGCCCGCTGGTCAAGGGGGTTGAGGGCCCAAGGCGAAGCCATTCGCTCAATTTGGTACGTTGACTGTATCTTCTCGAGTCCCATAGACATAAGGCACCTGAGGGATTCTGCCTACCTCTTCCGTGATGGCTGTTTACACAGCTCGGTCTCTACTACCTTGCATTTCTTTTGACCAACAAAGTACCAAGAATGGCACGACACAGCCATGATTATAATTCGCTGTCCCGTTTTTTACCATCACCGTTGCTGTTTGATCCAAAGTCAAGTACGGCCTTGAAGAGGGGGAAAATTACCAGACTTAAGTCGGCGATGACCACACATTCGTAAGCTAATAGTCATGATCTTCCCAATTAAACTAGTCCCCAATCTTAAAACAGATTTCCCTCCTACATTCCAGACGTAGGAATTGAATACGATGCATTGGCAACACTAGGTACTAAGTGCCTGTGACATCAGCCTTTCGTTCGTGGTGAGGACGTTGATCTGTAGCCAAGCTAAACGCCAGGTTCACTTCCGATACTCAGTCGTTGAGCGTATGCACCGTTTCCCGATGCGCAAGAGCGAATACAGCCGTCACGAACATCATCTACATTAGAAGGTGAAATCTTATGGAAAAACTGGAATTCCGCATCTTGGCAAACTCATATAACTACCTTCGCGGAGGTACCTACTCACGTCAAGGTACGGTGGGAGAGCCAAGGTACCTTGAGGCTTGAGCATGATCCGACTGGGTACCTACCTAGGTAGGTAGGTCTCCACTCGTCCATGAACGGCGCCCTGTAGCTCCGTGGCTCCGAGCTAGCATTGGAAACTACCTTAATGCATGGAGGTACAACTCAACATTTAACCACCACTTCAATCCATTTCATCGGCCATTTCAACTTCCTTCCTCTGCGTCCCGTCACGTCGGTCAGCCGCCCATCGCTCTTTCCCAAAATCATGTTACGGGAATTGAACGAGTAGCGGTGGCATTGTTTCTTCTTACCCCCAAGCGTATGTGTCCGCTCACGCCTGACGTTCCTCGTTTTGAGTGATCTCCAGGGAAAGGACTGTAGGTCTGGAGGCTCCTGTGTTCCCGACGTTCATTACTACTCTCAGACTGTATGAGGGCCATCTCACTATCATATTTCTCTTAATCCCACGAAACCTTGGGTTCTCATAGGTGTGAGGGCCATATTTTCATCCGGCAGGCGGCTTTTGAGTCGGGTCCGAGACGCAACGAATTGACAGTAGATCATTCGTTGTGTGACCTTCAAGCTATCACGATTTTCAGATCTGACAAGTGTACAAGCTCTCCAATCTCTCCCAAGCTCTTTCTACTCTACCTTTCACAGTTGCTATTGGCAATCTAACCCATCACACCTTTCCTGTTCTATCTTGCGTTCTGGCCGAGGTATCTCATCTCCAAGAGAGGCTGCAATGGAGCTTTCCTCGTTGCCTCACAGCCCAACTGAAGACGATGGCAAAACTGCTTCATCTCAGGCTGGTGCACCTTCAGACGATGTGAAGTTCTTCACACCAAGGAACGATTGTCTCTCTAATGTCAATACATTCGACCCAGCCGCCATGAGCTTGCAGGGTCAGTCGAGCAGGGACAACAAACGAAAGGCTGCTCAGAGCATTGTGGAAGTCAGTGATACTAGTCAAGACCTAGGCACATCCAAGAGGCTGAAGCTTGAGGCTATGAGGACCAAGTCGCCTCAGTTGCCTGGGGATAGATCACTTCTTCCCTCTGGAATATGGCATCGAGTTTTCGCATTTCTCCCCCCTAGGAGCTTGGGTACCTTGCTACGAGTTAACAAGCTTTTCAACGGGTATCTTGATTCTCACTCCGCTTTCGACAACACTGCTCTTTACCCGGAAAATGCGAGTCTCTTCAAGCCAATGAAACCAGATACAGTCTGGCAGCAGTCAAGGAGATTGCACCATCCCAGAATGCCCTCTCCGCTGGGGAATCGTACTGAACTCGATATGTGGCGGCTATGCTGCACCAAAATCTGTCAATATTGCGGTGTTACAAATTCGATTGATCAACAACAAGAGAATGCTGATCCCTGGCGTCCAGGGCCTGGAGTGTATGGTCTGGCAACTGTATTTGCATTTGGCGTCACCTGTTGCGGTCCCTGTCTTTTGAAACATTCTGTGAAGGTCTGTTTGCTGCTTGAATCTCGTCATCTTTCGTCTACAAACTAAACGTTCCATAGGAGATCGACCTGTTACTTTCTTCCACAACCCCATCATCCCTCATCCCAGCACTCGCCTCTGTCTTCGTCACACCCGAACTGCAGGCCATTCCATCGAGCACCTTGGAAACCAACGTGGGCGATAACAAGCTGGAGACTACAAAATTATACTCAACCTCCAGCATCACTGCCGCCAAGGAACAGCTAAACGTGGTTCAGAGCCTTGGGACAGCAGCCGTCGAAGAGTGGCTCAAGGGACTAGGCGCCCAGGGTAAAGAACACAGAATTGATGCATCACGATGGGAGAAGTGGGCAGCGGCTGGCGGTCTGGCGCAAATGTGCCGGAGCGTGCAAACTATGGGAAACGGGAGTATTGATGAACTGGCGCAAGACCAAGATCACGAACCACGAAAGTCCCCTCAAACTTCTTTAGAGGACCGAGATTCCGAAGGCCGCAGTAGGTCAGATAAGACCCACGAAGAGGCTGCCGCGCGGAAGGCATTACGGCGTGCTGAAATCGAGCGGCGCGCAATGTTACTCGACCCTCCTCTGCCACCCAACGTTGTTGTCCACATGCCTTCTTTTCAAGCAGCCATACAAATCACGGCCGCCTTGGACGAGAATGCGTGGAATACGCTGAAGCCCAAATTGCTGTCTCAACGAGCCGATGCCGAGAGGAATATCAACAGGGGTCTTACTGAATCTCGGAGCTCCAGCATTGAAACGAAGGTCGAGACAACAAGAGAAGTGACAGATCAAGACTGGGACGATATCCAAGGTCCGGTACGAGCGCGAATGTCAAAATATGCCGACGAGATCATCCGCGGTAGCTGGAATAAGGGTCGCAAAGTCAACAAGGAGAATAGCCCACGTTTTGCAGCGGGGGTCCTCCTATCCGTGCGGTCAAGATTCTACGCCGATGTTGCGAAAGACGCTGCGGATGCTATCGCAGCAGGGCGGCAGCCTGTTGTTGATCCCCAAGGTGGCCCCTTTACACAGAAGCTCACTCTGGAGAACATGAAGTGGGTATTTGATATGAAGATCAAACAGCATACCGAGTCGTATAGGAAGGAGTTGTTTCTTTGCAATGGTTGCGAAAGTCATAGGCTCTACGGATTTGAGGGGGTCATACAACACTATGCCGCAAAGCATACCAAGGCCCTCAGTCTCGGCAACATTGTTGTTCACTGGAGAGCCGAATGGCCAGAGCAGCCCATCTTCAAACCCAACGGCCGATCGACCAAAGGTTCTCAGCAAGCCGCAGGAAAGGGAACCGCCCAAGGTCATGCGGCAACAGGACCCCGGCCACCTCAAGGTCATGATACTCTTAGTCGGAGTGGCAGTCTCCTACCTAGCCCTGTGCACCGTTTTCCTTCTGACCAAGTTCCGCCCCTTTCCTATCACGCACCACAAGCTGCCCCGTACAATCCGTTACCAACATACAGTACGGATGCCAGCATACCGCGTGCGCCCTACCTACCGCCGAACTTTGGGCCGTCTGGAGCCCCCCAATTTTATCCTGTGGCATCTCCTAGCTTTGGACCCATACTCTCTGGCCCACAAGAGCAACCTCCGAACATGCTAGGAGCACCATATACTGGCCAACCGCATAGCACTCTTCCACATCAAGGCAATCCTCAGCCACCGTCTGCTACACCTCAAGGAATGCCCTTTGCGTCATCGTACACCACTCAGTTGGAAAACTTGGCTCGGATAGCGAGAGACATTTGGAACTCGCTTAGCACAACCAGGGATTTACCTGGGCCTTTGAGAGTATACATCACTATACACCATGTGGTCAAACGTTTCTGGCACAAATTTGGCGAGCCTCCCTTGTTGCGGATGTTTAACGATGGCTTATCAAACAACAAGGCTATGCGTCCAGTTCGCAATATCAACGGACTGAGGTGCAGATCCTGTACATTGGGTCTAGGGCCACCAGTCAATCCAGAACGCACCATGTTCTCGCTCCCGCAGCTCGTCAATCACTTCGAAAACCAGCATATCGGATTGCAGCAGGTCGGGCACAGGAGTGGGCCAGGCCTCGATTGGACACAAGATATGATCCTTATGCCGGATGTATCAGAAATTCCTGACTTGAAAGCCATCATTGGCGGCAAGGGACACAAGTTCAACATCGTCAATGAAGCAGTCCCCTGGGTCTTCAATAAGCCCAACGGACCCACACAACAATCTGGGGCCGCATGGCCTTTAGGTGGGATGGTACGGCCCAGCGATTCAGATCGAACCACGGATGATACTTGGCACACCTATGCCACGCATGCAGATGCTTCCAGTCATGAACGCAACCCCTGGCATGGTCCTGAAGCCATTCGAGAATCAGCGATCGTGGGTCAAGCGCAACAACGCCGAGACACGCAGCCGTCAACGGAAGATTATAATCGAAGATCCGCAGCGCCCCCGTATAAGCCACTGGTCACTCCTCATGAAGCACACGAACCAGGACGCATCCTTCGGGTCTCAACCATTGACCCTTGCCGACAAAGCTCTTGGGGCGCTTCTCCGACAGAATTTGATCGAGAGGGCCGCACCATTTACTTTGATAGTGGGCATTCTGCAGGTGGCTACAAAACAGATCATTACATGCCGTCAGGCTACTTCCCACGCCGTACTTCAGCATTGCCCGACGAAAATCGCCATGGGTACCGTGAGCAAAGTCGAGCCCCTGATCGAGTCCTGGTCGAACCTCGGTATGGGCATGGTAGTAGATACCCCGAAGGGGAGGAAGAGAGAGTCAATCGTACGTTGGATCAGTCGAGGTTGGTTCGGTCACGCCAATTACTCGACCGAGAGCAACTGTTACCGCAGGACACAAGGCCTGGCCCAGCAAGATATGCCCCGGTAATTCCTCATTCTTCAAGGGCTGCTGAGCTGGATTCTGCACGTTCATCAGCGGGGGATCCCGATGACTTTAGCTTGACTGCTGCTCTCGAGTCGCATCTTGCTCAAGATCGCGACGCGCTGGCTCGGGTACCCAAGGCTGGGCTGCTGGAGCGCGAGGTAGTTCGTCAAGAGCGCCGATCCACAGCGCGCGACGGCCCCCCATCGGACTTTCCCAATTACCCTGAACAACGACACATGGAAGTAGAAGTTTTCGATGACGCTCGCCATGGACACTCCACGCAATACATGGCAGAATCGCATGGATCCCGTCACACCGGACATGCTTCTGAGGTGTCGACGTACTACCACAGCCCAGCGGTCCCTCAAAATTCAGGTCGGAGCAGCGACAATCGCAGCACAACGCGCTACGCGAGCGCGACTCGCCCTCAGTCTGCAGGTTACGAGGAGACTTATGAGATTGTGCACGTACGAGATGCAGAGGGAGAGTACATCGTTCGTCGGCCGATTCTACGAGAGCGAGAAACGCATCGGGTTTTGTACGAGGGTGACACTCATCACCATCAGAACAGAGGATCATACTCACACCGTAGTCACGATGCTCTGTACGACTCGATGGACCGGACTCCTATTCCTGGCGAGCGGCGAGATGCTTTCCAAATGCACGAAGCTTGCACTGCAGGAGCCCAATTCATGATTGCTCCATCATCGTTTGCAGAATGTGACTCAAACAACCCAGCGTCCATGTCAGGTCCCGGCGCTAAAAGACCATCAGAGTACTAGCCAGACAATGTACCTCTTTAATGGGATAGGGATAGCATAACACAGTAGTCAAATGCAGCCGAATAGCACCATGCTCTACTTATTTTCCTCGTACCCAAATCTGTTTTTGTTTCACGAAAACTGAGCATCAAGCCTGACTCCATGTGATTGCAACGGATAAATGGGCAAGGAATGCTTATACAGGAGGCGAATCTCTCAAGGTCTGCATTCACATTCTCTGGGTGCATTACAATATACCCATAGCTGAATATTAGTCTGACTTTATTGAAGTTGAGGATCTTCTATTACACACTTCTTCGACACAAAAAGGTACATGATAGGCACCCAGCAGACTGAGATGAGGTACAGCACAACGATCATGGCATCGTTTCTCAGACATCCATGAGCCTTTTCCATCGGAAACGCCCCCTAACGTAGACCTCGCCTTTTATCCGCCTGACAACCCCGAGAGTGTATATCCGTGTGCGCAACACACACTGAGGTAGGAAGTGGGGAAGAAAGAGAGAGAAAAGGAGGTAGGAAGAGGCAGAGAGATACAGAGAGATAGAGAGGGCGTTAATGCAAACATGTGGCGCCGGTTTCGCCATGTCTGTTTCTTCTTTTCCAACACGTATCTATAACACTTCACCAATGATCTTGGCCGCCTCCCTGTACGTCTGGAGCAGCTTCTCGCACTTCTCACGCTCCTTCTTGACACCGTCGTCTTCGTACAGAAGCTCCTCAAACAGCGCCTCCTTGTAAAGCTCGCTGACAAGTCGGTTCTGGACTACATCCTTGCAGTGGTTCACCAACAGGTGCATGACAGCCTTGGGAACTTGATCCGCAATCGACTCGCGCACGATGTTGAAGTAGGAAGAGATAAGTGCTCGGATAAGCTCTGTCTCCATGGCTTCTCGTTCTGTCATGGCTGGCTCGCCACTAGCCGTACCCTGGAGATTGTATTAATACTCATCAATGAGAGAAAAGGAAGAGAGAAACCTACGAAGAGGGAGCCGTAATCTATGGATTGCTGGGGCTTGCCAAATTCCAGCTCGTCCCGGGACGAAGCTTGTGCTGGGGCACGCAAAGCTACTTTGTCTTCAGCTCGCCGGATGCTCTGTGAAAATGTGGGCTCAGAGCTCTGGCTAACGTGCCGAGCGATGGAGGAGTTGGGCGATGATGCTGCTCCAATCGCCGAAGCACCATCCTTGCCGAAGAAGTAGGTCAAGAAAGAGTCGCGCGCGCCGCCCAGGCCCTTATCATTGAATCTTGACGGAGAAGCTGATCTTGCTCCGTTGAGCGCCGCATTCAGACCGGTAGTGCCGTTCTCCCGTACGCCGGGTGACAAGCTGCGCGCGCCCTTAGTTGCCTGCTTCCGAAGAGAATTCGATTCGGCCTTTTCGATGACAGCCGGCTCTTCCTCCTCGCCCTCGGGGCCTTCGGTGCCATTAGCGCCCAACTCCTTGAGACGCCTCTTCTCCCGTCTTTCTCGTTCTTCCTGAATCAAACGCTTTCGCTCCCTCTCCTGTTTATTGCTCACAACGTGACTCATGGCAGCGGCGGCACCCAGGAAGTTGGGATGGTTAGTGTTGATGTACGCTCTTTGGATCGAAATCAAAGACTCGACATAACCGGAGGTCGGCCCTAAGCGTTCTCGCAGCAAGTCTGACACGACCTCAATCAGCTTAGCTTGCAGTCTCGGGTATCGAGACAGTTCAGTTGAGCCGCAGGTGTGACAAATCTTGATGAGCTCCTCGTAAACAAGCTCTACACATCGCTGACTAGGAATTTCGAGAAGCTTGATCTGAGGCTTGACGAGAAGGTCAAAGGCCATTTCGGGTACGAATAGACTGGGACGGGGACCGGTGGAATTGCGAATGGCTGTTCTAATATCAAGGGCCGAAAGATTCGAAGTCGGGTCGATGGATTCTAGGGACATGCCAAAGACGGAGTTGAAGATGTAGTAGATACGAGCGCCGCCGCAAAGCTCCTTAGTCGATATTTCAGTCGACGTACCGTCAATGGATGAGATGAATGATGTGGCAAAGCGTGTCATTTGCTGCAAGATGAGGGATCCACGGTGCTCCTTGCCGCTAAAGTGCATATCGCCATAGCTTGCCAGTTCCTGTTGAGTCTGTCCCATGAGAGTGTTAAGGCGAGCTTTGATATCCGGCATGCGCTCGCGAATGTGAGCCATCAGAGTCGTATTCAGCGTCTTGGCCAGGTATTGAGTGCCGCATCGACTAGCAATGTTCCGGTAGGCGGGGTGGTGCCTGAAGAACTCAGATTCGGCCTTGAGAGCCTCCTCCATGGGCTTGGCGCCCTGAATGTCCTGCTGAGAGCGGTTGACAACACCGATGAACCCAAGTTTCAAAGGGTACACGCGGCCAGATAGGATATCCAATGCGTTCGTACCATGATCCATAAGGTCCACCTTGGTAAGCACGCCAATCGTCCTCCTACCAAGAGGGTCGACATGTCGTGCGAGTTTAAGAGCCTCCGAGTTCACAATATCAACATTGGCAGGAGATACGGCAAGGACGATACTGTTCGGCTTGGCAATGTACTCGGAGATCAGGTTCCGCGTCTGCTTTTCGATGTCTGTAGGTTGATCGCCAATAGGAACCTAAGAGCTTGTGTTAGAGTATGCCAGGCGTTTGACGCTGAGCACTGAGAAAGGCAAGCATGGTGGCATACCTTTGTGAGGCCGGGAAGATCAACAAGTGTCAGGTTGAGCACATGTGGCGAGTAGATCTTGAGGTTAATGGGCTGTCTGTTGATGCCCTTGTTGTTGCCCGCCACTCGTGCTGTTTCGTTCTCGATCTCCCGCTTTACATCCGAAAAGTCGTTGAAGCGGCGGTTTGGGATATGGTGGAACTCGGCCCATTCGGATCGTCTGGCAAGGTCGGGAGACCTGTAGGGGTCGGAGGAAGGGTCGAGGGCACTCTCGTCCTCAGATACGTTGATGAGTTGTAGGATCAGGGGTCGTCGAGTACAAATGCCACTGCCGCGGGGCAGGAAGTCACGACCGACAATGTTTTCGAGGACGGAGGATTTTCCGGCTGACTGCGAACCAACTACGACCTGCTCAAATGTTAGCGATTGGACGTCTAGACAGCTCATGCACCATGACTAGACGACGTACAATTTGGGGGAGATCGAGCGAGTCACTGCCAATAGTATTGAAGACCAGGTCTTGCAATTTGTTGACAGTGCCGAGAAGGTCGTCTCCGAGGGACGCCATGGTGATTGGGTGACGCTAGGAGGTAGAAACTCCCACAAAATCGGGTTGGAAGAGGTGGTGGTGGTGAGAAGTGAAGCACCCGTGGATGTCGAGGAGAGCTTCGAGAGGCGAAATAGTGGAAGCTCCTTCACACGGCGAAAGGCCAGGCCGAACGGGGAGTCTGCAGCGCAGGGCGACGCAAAACAAGGCAGGGCACCTAGTGCAGGTGAAGGGAGCAAGCGCAGGCTCGTCGGGAGTGATCGGCTGCCTCTAGAGGTTGAGGGCGAGGCAGAAGATGAAGAAACTACAAAATTAAGAACGAAGCCCCTTCAGGCGAGATGGAATTTTTGGGCGAAGGGGGGCTTTGCTCGAGCCGATGCGCGTAGATGCTCTCCGGCGTGTCGTTCAATTTCGAGAATTCATGCGCGATCCACCATGTCGCCTACGCAGAACGCTCCAACAAACGACAAGGCACGTAATGCTTAGCTTGGTACAGTGGAGGAGATGGTTCCTAGTATTAGCTAATACACATCCATGGATCCGCTAGTCCCTGACACCTCAGGCTCGGTTACATCACTATCAGTACCTACCTTACTCTGTATGAGCCAGCATATTCCAAAATAAGCTAATTCAGAGGGTGAGGAAAACAATTATTGCGGTGAGGCTTTTCCCAAGAAGATGAAGAGAAAGATATCTTCCATAGCCTTTCCCCCCCTTCTATCACGAAGAGGCTTTGGGTTTTTTTTGGTCTTTTCTTCCTCCCTGGATTTGTATGCAGGTAGCCGGCGGTTCCATCGGTGCGCGCACTGGCGAGTGTTCAAAAGTAAGAACGGATGCATTAACGAAAGTTTCCTCTCTGCCGGAATCTTCCAGTAGCAACACCAGATGTAAGAGAAGACCTACCTATTGGATTTTGATTCTGTGGTTTGTACCTATTCGTACGCCTTCGCCCCTCAGCTACCTACCGTAGATTGCGTAGCTAGTTAGTCACCTTGGGCGAGGGTTTTTCTTGAGGTACTTAGTGACAGGTGCTCTAGAAAAAGCCATAGCGTCCCGTCGTAGACTCTTGGGTGTCACTGGGTGCCAAGGAGACTTTAAGTTGCTGTTGGTACCTCAGGAACCTCACAGAATCGACCAATATCATTCCACCCGCCTTTGTCGGACCTCCTTCTACGTAGCTATTGATTCCACTACAGAGCCAGCGCATGTGAGCCTTTCCGCAACTTGAGCAAAAGAGGCAATCGAGAACCGCATACGTGAGGTAGGCGATACAAGCATTCAATACCTGCACAGGTAAGTCAAGCTGCGGCGCCGTTCTGCCCGAGCCCCGGACACTCAGATTTCTCACCCTCAATGCTCAGGCTCAGATAAAGATATCCAGGCACAGCAACTTCTTCACATCAACACAGCAGCAACTTCTCAAGACAACCTATCAGCTAGAACTGTGTTGAATCATTTGTCGTTATCGAATCTCACCCGCGTCATCTTTACCATGAGTCAACTTGGTGGTCCAGGTTCTCGACAAGCCAATGCCAAGCCTATTCCGTTCGTACCTGACCCGGCCCTTCTTCACAACAGCCAATGCGATATGTAAGGTGGTGCAGTGCAGGCTAACGTGTGACAACCATTTGTTTTGTTACCCAGTCCTCAACGTGGCAGTTTCCCACTTGATCATGATGGTGAGTTGCGAAATGTGTGCCCCAATCGATTGCGTCTTTGAGGTCCTTGGCCTGCTAATGCGCACCCAATCAGGCGAATGCAAGCATGTTATAGCTACTTATCTCGAGTGCATCAAGAAAGTACGAGGGGTGAACGACGCTGAATGCCGCGACCTTGCTAAATCCTACCTTGCATGTCGGATGGATCGGTAAGTCTGCTTTTCACTATGCGACTGTGGACGAAACGACGGACGACATTCTGACTACTGTTGACTTTGGCCTCAGAAACCTCATGGCCAAGGACGAGTTCAGAAATCTGGGTTTCGACAATGGACCGAAACCAGCAAACGACCCAAACGGTCTAGCTTTAAGCCAAGCTCAAGCCCAAGGAAGTACTGGCAAGGACAAGGACGCAAAGCCCGGCGAATTACGATGGTAATATCACGGGTCCTTGGAGGCTCTTCAGTCGATTGCTCCTCTACATGTACATTATTCACGGAATTCATACCAAGAGGGCATTTGTTTGCATTGCAACGAATTTGTGGGGGTCGTCAACGACGTGGTTGCTTGACAACGCAGATGTGTAAGAAATTGTCAATATTTGAGCCATTATGCGCGGCAAAGGAAGTCATGCACTCTAACAACGGACCCAGTAGCACTACGCTGGGGGGCGTCGCCCTGTGCATGGTAAAGCCCCAGGCAAGGGACGGCATGTTTGTTTACGCAGAGGCTGCACTTTGGCCTAAGGCACTACTTACTTTTGTTACTTTTGACCCAGACCGACGCGCTTGCTTTCGGGACAAACTGGTTAAGACATGCTGAATTGCCCAAGATCTCAATTCTCAGATATTTAAGGTAGGTATGCAGCTATCTGATGGGTCACAATGGCGTATACAACTGCTCCTGAGGGCTGTGTGGAATACAAAACATGAGACGTAAGGTACATTCAGCATGGAAAAGATGTTCACATAGTGGGGCTTAAAAGAGGGAATGTGGTTTCTTTCAAAGAAGTCGTCACAGGATCACGGGCATAAGCCATCATCTGTAGGCGTCTGCCACTGTGGAGCTGTCATCGTGGTTGTTTCCCTGAGAAGTGCTAGGAACATGCACGTCGCGAGGGGCTAACCTGGAAGGGCATCAGGTCACACTGCACTGAGGTGACTCCCTCAAGTACCGGGTGTGTTCCCGACGACGGCACAGAGCCCCCTGCGTACCTAGGTAGTGTAGCCGGGCAGGTCAACTTAAGCTCACCCAACCCCGTCGCCCTCGATGTTTCGTTGTCGCAGAAGAGAGAGTCATCGTTGCCCCGACAACATCCCACGCCAAATACCTCCCCTTACCTTAGCTACGGCTGGATGGCTCAAGTATAACTTCATCGCCGTCAATCGGAAAACCCCTCTCTCAGAGTGTCACTAAAAGACTAAGTCTTGCCCTTTCGTTCATAAGTAGACGCATCATCGTCATCTATTCATCTATTCGTACATCCATAGCCAAGCGAATCCACTAAACCTTCACCGCATGTTCCCCAGGCACCGCATCAATCTTCACCCTGTTCCCACTGCCTACTGCCTACCGCCACCACCATTTCCTGTCTCCACTGCTTGATCGACGACGTGCTCGCCGCACGCCAGCTCTCCAGCATGCATCGCAGAAAGAGCACTGAGAAGACGAGAAAGGTGACTCCTCCATCGCCAAGCTACATGAATAACGAACAATTCGGTGAGAAATGCTTCTGAGTGCTTCTCTTTTTCTGCCTGTCGTGAATGCTAATCCCAACTTCTTAGCTGCCTACTTGGCAAACCTCCGATCCAACAGAGTCGCCCGCCCCGGCGGAGCAAGGCCACTGCCGCCTTCCTCTTCAAGCATAAGATCAAAACGCCCTTCAATCGAACATAGCGTTTCCGAACCCCTTCCACGAAGCGAAAGTCCTGCACTCTCCACTCCAAGTTCTATCAATGTACCATCGCAACCGCATCCCCCTTCTGTCAACGCCAGTGTATCATCCCGTCATTCCATTCCGAGCATCCAAGGACGGGAGTATCAACCTTACCGCCCAACATCACCTCTGAAGCCTTCTCAGGTGGTGCCGACTGCCACCTACATGGAAAGAGGACAGCGATGGATGGAAAAGGAAGAGGCCGTGTCACTTCGACATGCTATGGAAGACATGTCCATTAAGAACGGCGAACAACCCGTCGAGGATGAACCCGTGGAGACGCCAGACGACGAAACACGTATCTATAATGCTGCACTCGACGAGGCCTCAGAACTGGTCTGGCGGCATCAGAATGGAGTCCGCCCTCCTGACAAGGACGCACCGTATCGGTACAAGCCTCACCTCAGAAAGAACAGTTATGCTCATGCTCGCACCGCAAGCGTGGGCAAACATGCCGACGGCGCCCATCCATCCGGCCTCGCTAGGGACAAGTCCAGGTCAGTTTCTGGCAGCTCTACCGACAGCGATGGTCACTCTCGGCGAAGTCGACCTTCCTTGGCTTTGTCACGGAATAGCGTTGGGGGGGAGAGTCAGAGTCCCGACCGGCCTTCGATGGACTTGGGAACTTCAGGGCCAACCGGTGCCAGACCCCTTCCGAAACCCAGGAGCTCAGGGCAGCGTCGCAGCAGTATGAAGCGGAACATCAGCGGCGAAGTTCAAAGGCCATTTTCCGGTGATCAGATTTGGGAAGAGCCAGAAACCAATGCCCGGGAAGACAAGGCCAGGACGAAGCCAGCGTCGGCAGCAGACTTACCTCTGGTTGACAAACCAGAGAACCCCCAGAATCAAGTCCGATTTGCTACAAACTCACAGGCGGACCGCGTTGGACCCTGGAAACCCAGGTGCAATGTCGAGATTCAACGGAACCCACCGTCTCAGTCACGCAACCCACAGTACACCATCAACACTTCGGTTCCGAAGCCTGTGGTGGACGAACATATCCCAAAGAAGAACGGCATGGAGATACGCAGTGAAGATATCCGAGGGGCCACAAGTATGAAGCTGAAGGACCGCAGCGCGAAGTTGCCTACACCCACGGCTGTCAGTGATCGCCCTGGTCGGCCGATTGTAAGCTTCGACTCGAAGTGGAAGGCTCCAGACGAGAGAACTGATGCTAGGCCAGGAGCCGCGAGCCAAAACAACCAGCCGATGGAAATTCCTTCTATCGTGGTGGCGTCGGAGGAGCCTCCGTCGGACAGAACACGCAGCAACCCGATCGTTCCGGTCATAAATATTGACGGGACAGATGAGCCACCTGGTTCTAATCCTGGTATTCCTTTCATAGTCACTCCCGACGACGATGAATCTTCGAATCCGAAGCCGCGGCCCTTGCCTGACCCCAAGACAGCATCCAGGGGGCACCCTTTCCGGCGCCCGCAACGTCACTGGTCACCAGCCCCTGCCACTAGCAAACACTCAACCGCTTTGTGTCACGAATGCGCATTCCCCATTGAAGGTAGATTCGTCGCTCTGGGCGGATCCTCAGAGCGCTTCCACCCCCAGTGCTTCAGCTGCTTTGCTTGTGGTACTGGTCTAGAAGCCTTGGAGATTAGCCCAGAGCCAGAAGCTCATCGCCAAGAGCGCCTCGACAGAATTCAACGTCGCGCCCATGGCGAGGTGTTGGAAGAAACGCCAGGCAAGACCATGGCCGAAGACGGTGACGAGCGCCTACGTTTCTTCTGTCATCTTGATTGGCACGAACTTTACGCACCGAGATGCAAACACTGCAAGACACCCATTCTCGGGGAGCACGTTGTCGCTCTGGGAGAGCATTGGCACTACGGGCACTTCTTTTGCGCGGAATGCGGCGATCCATTCGAGAAAGGCATGACTCATATCGAAAAGGACGGGTATGCGTGGTGTGTCAACTGTCAGACAAAGAGGACGGAGAGAAGGGCGCCCAAGTGCAAGAAGTGCAAGACTGCTGTCATCGGACAATACATTCGGGCGCTGGGCAGTGAGTGGCATGATGAGTGTTTCCGCTGCGCTTCTTGTCAGGGCGGTTTCGACGACGGCCAAATTTTTCCTAAAGAGGTTGGTGACAGGGTCATGGTACTATGCACAGGATGCCGCATGATAGAACTCAAGGCATAACGATGTAAACGAGCAGACTGCAGAATTGGGCGTTGTTTTGAGTTGTCTAGGATAGGAGTTAGGATCAAGGAATAGGGGAAGCGTTTGCGCTTTTGTTGTCGATTAACATTCTGTATTGTTTTCAGCTTGAGTAATGGCATAGCGTTTGGCTGGATAAGGTACTTTAGGGGGAAAGGTGAAGAACAAAATAAAGTGGTAAAAGTCATAATCGTCATTGACTGTCTTCATATGGCCCTATTAGGAGAATCCGTTGCATCCATGTACGCCATTTGCGACAGCCGAGGCCTTCTCAAGAAGCAAGAAATCCATCGCTCCTTCGACTACTCCCACCATGTATTTTCCCGTTATTCTTGCCTCCATTTGACTACAGGGAACCGCCGACCTGCTCCTGGTGCACCTCGAGAGTGTCTCCATCCGCCATCTCGAGCTGATAGTGCCACTCGCGTTAGTATCGCATACAATGTCGGAGGCAGCCGCGTCGCCAACGCTTACCGTGTCTGGGGTATCCGTGGGTTGGACACGCTGGCCCTCGAAGAGGAACCGAACAGAGTTCATAGCCTTGCCTTGTCTCTCGCAAAAGGCCGTCATAAGCTTGTCCAGCTTGGTCGAGCGCTTGATCTTGAAGAAGACTTCATTGTTGTTGTCGGTAACCTTGATGTTCAGGTGCTCGACGGCGGGCGGAGCATCTTGACCGCCAGCAGACGGGCTTCCGTTCTCGTGTTCGCCAGACATTTCGTGACTATCGCTGACAGGGTAAAAGTCAGCAACGGCACAAGATTGTCGTGGGTCGTTTGAACTTTGGAGGGGTCAACGGGAGTGGGTTGATAGAGGTCGAAGCAGGGATATATTGCTGATGGATTGGTGTCCACCTACTTTGCGCTGCAGGGCGTATTCGCGATAGCGTGAGAGATCGCACGTGTGTGGCTGTGAAAGCTCGAGAGTTGGGCTTGTGAAGAGCGCGGGAAAACACACACGCGATATTGTGCAGAAGGTGACTTGTAGAGTTGACGAAAGGCGGAAGGTGGGGAGCGGTAGTGGGAGGCGCAACTGAGTCCGAAAGACAGGCGCTCTAGGTACCTACAGAGGTCGGCAGAGACACTGGGCGGAAGTGGGATGGGAGGCGATTGATTGGACAAAGTGGAGCCTGGATTTTCTGAGGCTTACCTACCTTAGGTAGGTATTACACCTTCTCACCCCAGATGTCGCCTGCCTAAGCCTCAAGGTGATAGTGAAACTTAAGTCAGGTACCTTCTTTCCTACCTACACCAACACCTCAATTTAGGTACCTTACCTTACCTTAGTTTTCATCTGAATATTTGCCCCTTCCCAGAGTTTCGTGGAACACATAC